GGGATAGGAGAGGGAGAGAAGGGGGAAAAGGAGGGATAGGAGAGGGAGAGAAGGGGGAAAAAGGAGGGATAGGAGAGGGAGAGAAGGGGGAAAAGGAGGGATAGGAGAGGAAGAGAAGGGGGAAAAGGAGGGATAGGAGAGGAAGAGAAGGGGGAAAAGGAGGGATAGGAGAGGGAGAGAAGGGGGAAAAGGAGGGATAGGAGAGGAAGAGAAGGGGGAAAAGGAGGGATAGGAGAGGGAGAGAAGGGGGAAAAGGAGGGATAGGAGAGGAAGAGAAGGGGGAAAAGGAGGGATAGGAGAGGAAGAGAAGGGGGAAAAGGAGGGATAGGAGAGGGAGAGAAGGGGGAAAAGGAGGGATAGGAGAGGAAGAGAAGGGGGAAAAGGAGGGATAGGAGAGGGAGAGAAGGGGGAAAAGGAGGGATAGGAGAGGGAGAGAAGGGGAAAAAGGAGGGATAGGAGAGGGAGAGAAGGGGGAAAAGGAGGGATAGGAGAGGAAGAGAAGGGGGAAAAGGAGGGATAGGAGAGGAAGAGAAGGGGGAAAAGGAGGGATAGGAGAGGGAGAGAAGGGGGAAAAGGAGGGATAGGAGAGGAAGAGAAGGGGGAAAAGGAGGGATAGGAGAGGGAGAGAAGGGGGAAAAGGAGGGATAGGAGAGGAAGAGAAGGGGGAAAAGGAGGGATAGGAGAGGAAGAGAAGGGGGAAAAGGAGGGATAGGAGAGGGAGAGAAGGGGGAAAGGAGGGATAGGAGAGGAAGAGAAGGGGGGAAAGGAGGGATAGGAGAGGGAGAGAAGGGGGAAAGGAGGGATAGGAGAGGGAGAGAAGGGGAAAAGGAGGGATAGGAGAGGGAGAGAAAGGGGAAAAGGAGGGATAGGAGAGGGAGAGAAGGGGGAAAGGAGGGATAGGAGAGGGAGAGAAGGGGGAAAAGGAGGGATAGGAGAGGGAGAGAAGGGGAAAAAGGAGGGATAGGAGAGGGAGAGAAGGGGGAAAAGGAGGGATAGGAGAGGGAGAGAAGGGGGAAAAGGAGGGATAGGAGAGGGAGAGAAGGGGAAAAAGGAGGGATAGGAGAGGAAGAGAAGGGGATAGGAGAGCGAAAGTAGTGGGGAGTTTAAGGAGGAAGTGGAAGGAAGGAGTGCAAAAGGAATAGTAGAGCAGATGAGAGAGAGGAAAGGGGAAAGATAAAAGCAGCGGGAAGGGGGAATGTTATTGTTATTTTTTCCGTGGAATTTTCGCGGTTTCCGCTAGTAATAATATCGATAATGATAAGGATAATAATAATGATAATTATAATAATAGTGATAGTAATGCTAATGATAATTATAATAATAGTGATAGTAATGCTAATGATAATTACAATAATAGTGATAGTAATGCTAATGATAATTATAATAATAGTGATAGTAATGCTAATGATAATGCTAATGATGATAATGGTAATAGTAATGATAATCTTCTTCTTCTTCTACTGGCTTGTTCCCTGTGCGGGGTTGCCGGTGCGGATCCGTTATCTATTTGTGTCCGCATCATGATTAGGTTGGCTCAGTGTTTTATGACCGGATGCCCTTCCTGACGTCAACCCTCCTCCTTTATCCAGGCTTGGGACTGGCACCGAGTTGTGCTGGTTTGCACCCTTCTATGATAATAAAAATGATAATAATAATAGTAATAGCAATGGTGATAATGATTATAACGATAGTGATAATGATAGTATAGATCAGTATTATCAAACAATATAAAAAAACTTTTTTATGCAAAAAAATTTTAATTTTCGTTGATGATAGTAATGATACTAATGATGATACTAATATCAATAATGATTTTGATAATTATGATAACAATAATAATAGTAACAAAAATAATGATGATAACTGTGAAAGGATAATATTGATGGTGATAACAATAACAATAAGAATGATAATAGTAATAATAATGGTAACAGTAATAGTGACTATTATGATAGTGATAATAACAATAATAATGATTATCATAATAGTGATAATAACAATAATTATGATAATTATAATGATAATAACAATGATAATGATTATCATAATAGTGATAATAACAATAATAATGATTATCATAATAGTGATAATAACAATAATAATGATTATCATAATAGTGATAATAACAATAATAATGATTATCATAATAGTGATAATAACAATAATAATGATTATCATAATAGTGATAATAACAATAATAATGATTATCATAATAGTGATAATAACAATAATAATGATTATCATAATAGTGATAATAACAATAATAATGATTATCATAATAGTGATAATAACAATAATAATGATTATCATAATAGTGATAATAACAATAATAATGATTATCATAATAGTGATAATAACAATAATAATGATTATCATAATAGTGATAATAACAATAATAATGATTATCATAATAGTGATAATAACAATAATAATGATTATCATAATAGTGATAATAACAATAATAATGATTATCATAATAGTGATAATAACAATAATAATG